AGCTTCCGTGAGTGAAGAACTCATTCTTCCATTCATTCTTGCTGAATCGTTCCAAAGCTGAAAGTTCCGATGTCTACAACGAGCAAGTTAATAGATGACACATCTCATAGAACGTTGGCCGAGACTATTACAACTGCTGGCAAAATGAATGCCGCCTCTAGACATCGTCAGAAAGATAGAGGATCGATTACATCCCTTTCTGGTCTGACTTCGGACCACGAAAGAATATCTGCCAATAATCCTCTATTGCGACAGGCGAAAGCTAGTAGTAGCAAGATTTCTTCCAAGGTGTCAGCAGCGAACAACGGACCTAACGTCGGATTTTCTTCCCATGCTCCGTCAGGTATGATTTATGCCCAAGGTTTGTTTCTGAGTCTCCATTGAATGTGAATACATTGTTACAGCCGACCCCCCAAGGTATTTTCATGCGATGTCGTCTCGTTCTGGTACAGACGAGCTCCTTCTCCGTCCCTCCGAACCCTCTCCTCCTGTTACCCCTTCCCCTTCACAAACCCCGGCATTGCCTGGGCTTCAACTCCCCTCATCAGCTGTACCTCTCGAAAGCGGCTCTCCTACGGCTAGACCCCGATCGGCTCCTTTTTTAAGCGACGCTTCTCTAAAGCTTACCGCAGAACCTCAAGCTCGTCCATCCACCTCTGTCCTCCAGAGTCCGAGAACACTGGCCAATATCCCGAGTCTTGCTCGTGCCGGTGTTCAGGTGCGTCTTCTCTCGATGGACGCGGTGCCTCGACAGTCGACAACGGAAAGCGTGCCGGGAACACCTCAATCACCACCTCGTGAATACTTTACTTCGCCGCGACATCCTTTACGCTCGCCTAAAATGCCAACCCGACAAGCTCAGCCAAGCCTCGCGCTTGCTCCTGCTCTCCCTATATCCCCAAAATCCCCCGAGTTCCCCCATTCGCCAAAGCCGTCGCCACCCACCGTGCCTGAGCGAGAGCCGACGGCGTCGCCGTCACGACTGCCCAATTCACCAAAGCTAGCTCACGCTCGCGTTTCGTCGTTGCCTTCGCACTTGACGCAGCAGTCGTCCATCAGCGAAGTGTTCGAACAACTCGTTCACGAGAAGGACGATGAAGCGGGTTCAAGCGCTCTGACTGCCACGCAGACACAAGCCGTAAGACAGGAGACCGTCCTCGCCACCGTCGCGAAAAATGTGGACGATGTCGACATGGACACTGGTTTTGAGAAGCGGCTTTCTTCAGCTCCTCCACCACCCGAATCCTCTGATGACGAAGCCATGGATGATTTCGCAGAGGTCGAAGCCTTGGTCGAAGAAGACGAAATAGACGAAATGGGATTTGAAGTGCCAGAGCATGCATGGGATGACGAAGAAACAGTCGAAACGCCTGACATGACGCGACGTTCGTCGCGATCGTCCACCAGCGAGAAGTGGCCTGTAAGCGCAGATGACCAATTCACCTCGCCTGAAGTCAGCCGACAGGCCACCCCCGACCCCGATGATGAAGGCGCAGTCGTAGTCGTCCACCGCGGCAAGACGTACGGTGGCTTCTCCGCCATCACCTGGCCTGATCACGTCAGAAGGGCGAAGAACCTCCCGCCGAAATGCGCGCTCGCAAAGGATATTCCGCATGTATTTGAAGACCACGTCAACAACATGACTCCGTATACCCGCATGCTGCCTGAAATGCGCAAGGTATACGAAGCCAGGATCCTGGAGAACACGGTTGAAGACGAACCCGACGCGCCGCCGATCGAAATTCAGAACGACGTCGACGAGGAAGCCACCCCGCCATGGGAATTCTTCTACAGCAACAAGATGTGGCATGGTGAAGGCGTCCCTCTCCCCGATACGAAGAGCCTATTAAGGTGTAATTGTAAAGGGGTGTGCAATCCGAAGTCGAAGACGTGTGCTTGCCTCAAGCGGCAGAGAGAGGCGTGCCAAGATCCCAATTTGGAATTTGCGTACGACAAGACTGGAAAGCTAAAGATTCCCGGATATCCGATTTTCGAATGCAACGACTTTTGTGGCTGTGGAGATGAATGTCGCAATAGAGTAAGCTTTGATACAATTACAACTTAGGGAACCATTTTCATCTCGTCTTTAGGTGGTACAGCACGGAAGAAAAGTCTCAGTGGCTATTCGAAAGACGCCTGCCAAGGGATGGGGTAAGTCAAAAGAAGCTCATAATATTTTCACTCGATTTTCTAAACAACTAAATCATAATTGAAGGTGTCTTCGCTACCAAGAAAATTCTCGCGGGTACTTATATTGGTATTTACGCTGGGGAATTGATTACAGATGTAATTGCTCAGCAGCGAGGAGTGTAGGTTTTATTTTCTTTTAAGCTCTAATTTTAGCAATTGCGAAGTTGCGACTAATATGGGCCTCTATAGCAAATACAACAAATTTGGTCGCACATATCTCTTTGACATCGATTTTCATCACCTCAGGGATTCCGATGATCAAGATTGGACCAACCAATTTACCGTGGATGCCTATCACGCCGGAAATGTAAGCGAGAATCATTAATAATGAGTAAAGAACTTTCATTCATCTTGTTTTTCAAGTTTACACGCTTTCTTGTAAGCCAAAAAAATATGCATTTCATTCAATGCATTAACCAAAAATGGACCCAAATTTTAGAACCATTCCTGTGATCCCAATAGCCGGCTATTTGCCTGCTATATCAATGAAGGAAACATACAAAAACCATTGCTTGCCATCTTCTCTCTTCGGGACATTGAACCAAACGAGGAGATTTGCTTCAATTACAATGGCAATTATCCGGATGATGATGAGGACGAGAATGACAAGCCCGCCAGCCAAGACCCCAATGAACAAACTCCTACAGAACCTGACTCAAGAGATATTATTTATGAAAAGTGTATGTGTGGTGCTTATAACTGTACAGGTATGTCCACTTTTTCTGTCTTTCTCTTGGTTATTGTTTAATCAACTTGCAAAATAAGGTCAAGTGTTCAAATAGCCATGGTTCACCCAGGCCATTCTGGTTTTGTACTCCTCTAATGCCAAAATGCCTATAATGGATCTAACATCAAACTACCAAATTTATCTAATCTCTGCACTTAGTGGAATGTGTTCTTCAGAAGATACACTGGGATAGTCTCTTATCAAATTTACAAAAAAGCACCCAAATCATGAAATTGAAAGAGCCGAAAAGCCGTTAGGGACTACAAACATTAAGAGAAAATGCAAGTAATGATGTACAGACACTGCCGAAAAGGAAAGATCTATATCCATGATAACGACGCAAAGCGATATGGACTACGACGGATTTATAAGTATGCAATAGAAGAGGTCTTCTAACATGCCATTCAATAACGCGAGGTTATGCCAACAGGAACCAGAGATACACCGACACGATCAAGACACGATGATGATAATGTATGATGATACACATAATGATAACGAAGAGCAAAGAAAAAACCCCAAAGCTAGTCAATAACGATAACCTCCCCGAGCTGCCGGACAGGCTGCTGCCCGCTCCCGCCCGCGTCTGAACCCCTTGTGGACCTGCTATGCGCCTCGCTCCGCCGCGCCTTCCGCACCGCCGCCTCCTGCTCCTCGTCCGAGTCCAGCAGGTCCAGCACCTCCACAGGAGCGGCGGCGCCGACAGCCGCCGCGGCCGCCGTCTCCGAGGTGCGCTTGCGCTTGCGGTCCCGCGACGCGGTGCGGCTCCGCGCCGCCTCCGCCTCGTCGTCCGAGTCCAGCACGAGGACGGGGCTCGTCGGGGCGGCTGGCGCTGGCGGCAGCGCGGCGGCGGCGGCGGCGGCGAATGCGCGCGCGGAGCTCGAGGGCGCAGCAGCGGCGGCCTCGGTCGACGGACCGGGCTGCTCTGCGCGTGTCTTGCCCTTGGCTTTCGACGGCGGGGCGGCTGCGGCCTCGGCAGGCGGGGGCGGTTTGGGTTTGGCGAACATTTCTGTCCAGCGGCGGGCGGTGGCGTCGTGCTGCTTGCGGCTCCTCACGTATTGGGTAGCGATTGAGGGTACTGGTTGGGTGTCGGAGGAGGTCATAAATGCATGAAGTGAAGCCGAGCCGTCAAATGGAGGAATATTAGATGATTGCGCGAAAAGGAGTAAAGCGATTTATTAATTGACGATTTGGTTCCTGAGAGATGAAAACATACCGAGAGGGTCCTCTGAATGTTGCGTATTCAGCTAATTAGATTGTTTCCAGAAAAATATAGAGAATGCTTACTTGGATTGGGGTCTGTTAGAAGCGACGAGAGAGAGAGCATGACTTTAAATAGGGATAAGGCCGGTGACCAGTTCTGCTTGAGGATGTCTATACATATGCTCCCTTGTTCAGAAATCTAATTCGACCGTCAAGATAATGAGCACTACGACGTGATATAAAAGGGCTTACGTTCATGTGGTAGATTCTAGCGCATGCCACTTCAATCAGACTGTCCACCAAGCATTGACACCCAGCATTAGCAGCTCACCTAGTCTTGAAAATGACCTTCGGAGCCGAGAACCTGAGAGGCAATTAGACACTTCCTCCAAAGCTCTGCAGGCACAGCAGCCACTCACGGGTAATCCGGCGGCAGCACGATCTCGACGGCGAACACCCCTCCCTCATACAAGCTCCCCTCCGGCCCCGGTATGCTCCCGTTCCAGATAATCAGGCTGTGGTCGCTGGGCTGCAGCACAATGTCCCCGAGATCCTCGCGCTTGAGGTCCGCAATTTCACGGTTAATGCGCTTCATCGTCATCTGTTTTGGAGTGAGTGGCTTGTCAGAGCGGAAAGGCCCATGAACCTTTGAAGCTTGGTGTTTGGCTTACCGAAGAGAGAACGGAAGGCGGCATCTTGGGACGCAGGAGTTCGCGACTCGGATATGGGGATGAAGATGGTTCAGGAGGAAGAGTTCTGAATTCTGGGAGGACAAGGCTGGGCTATTGGGGTCACGCGGATGATGCACCTCCTTGTAACCACACGGCCCGTGGGATAGGGGCAGCAGCCCATTTTAAAATCTACTAGACTCCTGGTCACTGGTGCTATAGTGTAGTGGTTATCACTCGGGATTTTGATGCTAAACTATCAACCTTCCCGAAACCCAGGTTCGAACCCTGGTAGCACCTCTTTACCCATGGGTTTGTATGTATTCCATGAAATTTTTGATTGCCTTTTTATTATGCTCGGAAGCCGGCAGCGTTTTGAACTTTTGAAGGAACAGTACTGTCTTCCAGATGCCCTCCCTCATGCATCATGTCTCGCTAATCCGCACTTATTGGGCCGACAAAATCAGACTAACTACTTATCTTTGCTACGTAGGTATACGATACAATGGATGCGATGCATTCCAATACACTGCTAAAGGAAATTTCGCGGTCCATCCGCCGCTAACAAGGCAAGAACGAATGATGCACGATAGTATACAAAGGGTCGTTGCGGGGAGGAGGCACCGACGACGCGCCAATTTCTGAGCATTCGGGGTTGTGGATGATGTTTCGACTGGGACAGGAGGGAGAAGCAACGAAGAAAAGCGGAATTGTTCAACCGAACACTCAGGAACCCGACAGGCGGTCGACGCGCGATGGAAGTAAAAGAGGAGAGATAACAGACGAACAGACGCGGAGATAATAACAGAACGACAGACGACAACGAGAGGACAGACGATATGAGGGAGGATGAGAGGAAAGGAATAATCGAGTTGAGATCCAGGATGATGACAGCAAATGTTAGCTATGAAATAGAACTCTGAAAATCGTAGGACAAGAGGAGGTCGGAAAAGAACTTGATGGGAGATCATAGGTTCTGGATTTGGACGATCAAGAACTGTTTCTCGTCGCTAAATTGTTCATCTGTTGATGCGCGCAAAGGAGAACGAGAAAGTCAGATTCAAGAATATGAGAATATTGCGTGTACTCACCCTCCTTGTCGTTATGGAATGATTTCAGGAAATTCAACAACTTCTCCTTGTTTCGTCTGAGAATACTCTCGATCTGTGGTGGCTTCTTGGGATTCGCCACAAACACCTGGGACGTATTTCAGCGCCAGCTCCACAGATACACTACCAAACGAAAACATAATTCGAAAATGCGAACCTTGAACACGTGGAACGCTTCAAACTGAATATTCTTGCTCTTATCTCGTAGCAAGTTCATCATCATCTTCAGGTTGGCTTCATTCGCGATATATCGCGTCATGACGTTGAAATTGGCCCGATCCAAAAGAATCTCGCCCAGCAGCTTCAACGATTGTCGTTTCGTCACGTAATTATTCGACAGAATCAGGGTCGTGAAAGAGGAGAAAAACTGTGGGCGGCATTTTGAGTCGGTAATCAAAAGAAGTCAGAAAGCACAGCATACTCTGTCGTAATTCTTATCGAGGTATTCAGCCACCATCGGCTTGTGCCGCGTCAGTGTTTCCTTCAGGTTGGCGAAAGCATCACAGGAGATCCCAAAGGTTGTCGTTTCGATGTAGTGAGGATACTTGTAAAACCTAACAGTATCATCATGTCACTTCACATCAGCGTGGCATGCAAAACAGCGAACTCACTCATCGGAGTATAGGAGGATCTTGCATAGCTGCTCGTGCCTCAGCATCTCCTTGAGCACCATCCCCGTGTTCAGCGCGACCTCCTCATTCTCGTACCCCGCGAGCGCTGCGAAGATGACGTCCGGTTTCCCAGAGAGGTACTCGACCGTCGGCCATCGCGAGCCAATCTGGCGCCGCAGCAGGTTGTTGAAAATCTGGACCACGTCCTTCCGCGCCTCGAACTCGAATCGCGAGATGTTCGTGACGAGCAGGAGCAGCAGGTCCGTGTTGTACGTCTCCTGCGCCAATTGCGCGACAAGCTCTGGGGCTGGTTCTAGGCGGGTCGCAATGGAAAGGGGGTGCGTCCAGTGAGTCAGGGGTTCACTCGGGACGATAGACGGCCAATCACCCACCTCCGTCGCCGTATAGGATGCCCTTGATGTGCTGCAGGTTCTTGGACACATCCTCGCTGGCCTAGGGCGGTTTAACGCGTAAGAAGTCACGTTCGGGATGATAGCCCGAACACCTCCGGGCTGATTCAAAAGATACCCAACGCACCTTCCGCCTTGTCTCCCCCCAGGTGCCCCAGACTCCAATCGGTTTATAGCATCACGAAGGCCACGCACAAGATCGGGTGGTGTTCTCGGTTTTGTCTTGAAGAAGTTCATCGGTCACAGACGGCGTATATAGAAGCTCTATGCGGTATATGTGGGTATAAAGGAAGAAAAATGTATACAACAACGACAAAGGAGAGATGAATGTGGTGAGGAACAAGTGAGAGTTTCGCCCCTTGGCAGCAGTCCAGATCCGTACTGCCAGGCGGAGCCGGTTGATTCCCTAATTTGGATATCAACTTGGTTTGTGCTGGCCCGGCCCGTGATGCCGCGTCCGACGTCGCGTCATTGTCATTGTCAAGCCATGTCGAATTGTAGTTAGAATTCGAGCAGGTTGAGGTTGTTCTTCTAGTAAAATTTTTTTGACTTGGTAAGCCTTTGTCAAAAAGAGCTTTACGACATCAGGCTCATGATTCAGATAGTCGCGAATGATGTCGTTCAGACCGACATCAACGTATCTTTTGTCAAATGTCCCCAAAATAAGATGAAGTCTATGTTTCTAGAGGGCAGTACTACAGCTGAGCAGAGAGAAGGGAGAAATCTCACACATGTATTAGGACTCAAGCTATGATAAAAACAACCACCTCACGACGTCAAGCCCAAGCTTTTGCGGACCTTCGTAATAAAGAGGTCCTTGGATTTCACAGCAGAAGACACCCAGTCTCCAAACGTAGGCCCCCAAAATATTTGCCAGTATGTAGCCCCACGATCCTATGAAACAGACATGTTAATAACCAGAACAATACACGAACTCATAGGGGAAGCACTTGCCTTGCCGTTCGTAATGAATATCAACTCGTAGGCACCACGGTATAGATCGCTCGGTTGTTGGTTCTTGAGCAGAGTGACGATGTTGTTGGCGATGACAGATGCATGCGCTGGGTATTTTGCGACCTGCTTCTGCTCATCCCATTCGATCGCGTCACCACCCGCGAATATGCGAGGATAGTTGAAGACTTGGAGCGTGGAGGATACTCTGATATGTTGAGTCTCAGAGAGTGTACCAGGTGCGAGGGTAACAAATCCTGTGTTTGGTTTCGGGCCACGGCAAGGAACCTAAACATCGAGAGCTCAAGCTAAAGCAAAACATAGAACGGTAGGTGTCCTTACCACTAAGTCAGCAATGATCCTCTTGCCATTGCGCGTTTTGATAACTCCAGATTCCGATGGGTCCAATTCATCTACCCAATCGTTGAGCACGATTTCGATACCCCGACTGCGGAGGCCCTTCGCTACGTCTTTGCGGAAACAGTTTGGGTAAGCGTCGTTGAGAAGCAAATCTTGTCCGTGTACAATGGTCACTTTCTTTTCCGGCCAGAAATCCTTCAACTCTCCCGCATATTCTGCGCCCAGTTAAAATCAAATCCACGAAAAATAAAAGTTGCAGAGCTTACCCGCTGCGACTGCTCCACCACCCACCAACACAATGTCATGAGCGTTCTTGAACTTCTCACGCCAGCTACTCAAATGCTCCGTCGTCTCCTTCTTCGTATCAGGGATATTCAAGGGCCCCTCCCAAACGCTCCCAGGGGTCAACACAAGGATCGAATACTCGACCGTCTCGCCGGACTCCAGCGTCAGCACCCCGGGCTTGTCCCCCTCCTCCGACGCGATCGACGCCACCTTGCCGATGATGAACTGCCCATTCCCGTTGTGCAAGGTGTAGTTGTACGTGACGTGCGCGCGGTCCTCGAGGTGGCCTTCGTCGGTGACCGACATCCGGATCCACGCGGGCAGGTGCGTGTAGTACGGGCGCGCGGTGACGAGCAGGAGGTTGTACTGGTCTGGCCGGAGCATGGAGGAGAGCAGGCGCGCGACCTGCGCGCCCGCACCCCCCGCACCGACGATCACGACGTTAGGACGACCAGCCATGTTGAACATCGTGCCGAATTTTGGGGGTCCTCTGATAAGTAGCAAATTACGTGGCAGCAGTAACACCAAAGTCAGATAGCGCTGAGGGGGTGCGGAATGGAGGTAAAGGCAAGCGGGCGCAGTAGATTTATTATCAGAGAATGGTCGACTGTCCAAAGGGTATATATCCCACGTCGCAGCGCACTCCCCAGGTCGGTATCCCAGGATGACTCCACCGTCCTGGAACGGCAAAGGAATGTTCGCCACAACCGGTGTCGGATGTCCTAAGATAAACTCCAAACGTGGGCGCCCATCCCGTACATTTCGCAGGAGATATGTATCACGGAACGCGATATGGGAAGTTGTTCCAGGAGGGATGAACGGCATGCTGAGAACCAAGGATAACGATTATTGGCTATGCATCGGCCCAGCCCCCTAGTTATCTACAGTCATAGTGGCGGTGTGCAAGGTGTGTACGGATATGAACGTCGAGCGGCGGCTTGAAATGAATGACTTGCGGACGCAGAGGGGCCAAGCAAGACGGAATCATCATGTCGAAGGCATTTGGAAAGGGTCCCGTCTACTGCAAACCGACGTCAATCGGTATCCCACAATAGGTCATTGCAGGCATGTAGCGTCCACAAATATGTCAGTGTACACACGATCGGGTGTAACAAAGCAGAAGGATCATTGCCGGGATTCTCAAGCATACTCGATGTCGACGTCGATTGGATCATTGAACGTTGTCTTGCTGGTTTGGCATTGGCCTGACAATTGGCCTTGGCAATGTCACCAATTGGAGGAAACGCTTTTCACATCACATGCTCACAACCAAGCGCGTCGCGTTGAACTGATCGATGCCTGTGTCTGCCAGTACATCAATGAGGATAACATCTATTAGAGTGACGGGTATCTTTACACAAATGAAATAAGACCTAGCAGCCTAAGGAGAGGATAAAAGACGGAATAATGTAACAAGAACTCATACACATGGTAACAACCGAGGAACGGTGTGTATAATAAAGTGTCATCAGCGTAGATGATTCACAACTTCATGTTGGTCTTAAGCATGTCAAATAAGAGGTGTTTCGATTTAATCAGAGCCGATAACCAGTTTCCGATGGTGATCCCCCAGA